GGGGGGGGGCATATGGAGATACCCAGTGGCCGACTGCCGAGGGTGGCTGTCACATGTCTCGCACGCAGCCTCTACAACAACCTGGACTGGGTGTCTTTGTGCTCTGGGCCAGTGCTTTTCCATGTGCAGAAGACCCGCTCTACACAACTCCACAAAAAAAAAAAAAAAAGCATGCCTGTGCCAGACTGTTTTGTCGGACCTCCATCGACTCAGTCTGAGTGTGTCTGAGTGTGCGAGTACGTGTTTTGGATTTTCACCACAACAGCCCCTATTCCACCCAGATGAGTAGATCCGAAATCGAAGCAGCTTTCTTTAGTCCTTTTGCAGACAACAAAGCACACTTGACTTTAGACGTGTGTGCAAAAGAGAGAGAGAGAGAGAGAGAGAGAGAGAGAGAGAGAGAGAGAGGTTCCGCCCTCCCACTTACCCTCCCCCGTCTTTCCTCCATTGACTCAATTACCCCTCATAGCACGCCTCCTCTAATCAGATTATCCTCCTGGGTACCTGATTTCCAACTCCTCTCCCTTTTTTGTCTTCCACTTCGTTCCTCCCCCCCCCGTTCTCTCGTATAGCATATCTCCAACTCCTCTCCCTTTTCTCCTCCACTCACCCTCCCCCTTCTTTCCTCCATTCACTTACTTACCCCTCATAGCAGGCCTCTTCTAGACAGATTATCCTCCTAGGCACCTGATTTCCAACTCCTCTCCCTTTTCTCCTCCACTTTGTTCCTCCCCCGTCCTCTCACACAGCAGATCTCCAACTCCTCTCCCAATTCTCCTCCACTTCGTCCCTCCCCCATCCTGTCATATAGCATATCTCCTCCCCTAACCAGATTACCCTCTCTTGGGTACATCATTTCCTACTCCTCTCCCACTTCTCCTCCACTTTCTCCCTCCCCCCCTCGCCTAGGCATGACACCTTTTCTACATCTCCTTCCACCTTTTCTACATCTCCTTCCCTCCACTAACTTACTTCACCTCGTATAGCATGTCTCCTCTACCCAGATTATCCTCTCTTGTGTACGTCATTTGCAACTCCTCTCCCGCTTCTCCTCCACTTCCTCCCTCCCCCTCTCCTCCCCATCCTCCCTCCTCCTCTCATCTGGGCATGACACCTTTCTATATATCCTTCCCTCCATTCGCTTACTTACCTCATATATCTATCTATATATAGATCTATATATATATAGATATATAGCATGTCTCCTCTACCCAGATTACCCTGCTGTGTACCTGATTTCCAACTTCTCCCCCTCCTCTCCTCCCCCTCTCCTCCACCTCCTCTGGGCATGACACCCTTTCTACATCCCCTCCTCTACCTTTTACTTAACCCCCAACAGAATACTGTCGAGATGCAAGAAATCATCATTACCATACTTAGCGGCGATTCTCCTCAAAATAAATGAAAGAAGAGAGAAACGAGCTTCAATCATCAACCATCCGGTAGACAAGTCGCTCGCAGAACAGCAAGACAGCTCATATGCTTACGGGCTGTCACATAATGAATCAGCCCTCCCTTCGAATGCTCCATCCATCCTCCCCTTCATTCTCCTTGATGATAGCCCACAGCTTTCCTCCTCCTCCTCCTTCTCCTCCTCCTCCTCCGCGTCCCACAGAATCATTTTTGCCTCATTTCAACAAAAACACAAGGAAAAAAATGGCGAGAGAGGATGACATCAACAAGTGTGAAAAAAATCACGGTCACACCAACTGCGCCACAGCTCCGAGCCAAAAGAACTGCTGCGGTCAGTTAGTGAAAACCTTACACCACCAGTACTTGGCCCAGCTATCGGCCGCGGGGAAAAAAAATAAGAGTAGAAACGTTTCTACTCGGATGAATTTGGGCGCTCCTGTAGTGGCCCGTACATTTCCTAAAATCGTGGCTTGTTAACTAACGGGCACAACTTTAGCAAGTACTGGTGATTTACGTGACCTTCATATTTTATATCAGAACATAAAAAAGACGTCACTAAATGTTCCTCCCGCAGCACTAAACGTTCCTCCCGCAGCACCACCTCCTCCAGGTTCTCTCGCCCCCATAGACATCCAGTGCAACTGTCACAAATCCCTAATAATAGAACAGAGCTACACATGCAGAACCAGTCACACCTACCTCGAGAAGAAGATAGAATCAATTACATCGACCTCGAGAAGAAGAAAACGAAGAAGAAGAAGAAGAAGAAGAAGAAGAAGAAGAAGAAGAAGAAGCAACCCGGCAAAGCCTCAATCCCGGTGGTTCTCTTACCACCACCAGGATAGAGGCCTTGCACAAGGGCCTTCAAAAAAAAAAAAAAAAAAAAAAAAAAAACGAAAG